TTTCCATGATCAGTTGCGGACTGGACCACTGTGATCCATAGGGTTTTCATTGGCTGGTGTTTGGAAGTAGCTTGCCAGGCCTTTCTTCCTAGTTCATTTTAGTCTAGATGCTCCGCTGACACCTGTTCAGCATCATAGCAACATATAAGCCTCTAATGATAGACAGACAATGGCTGAGCATGAGGTGCACTGGCTAAGAATCAAACCCAGTTCTCCTGCATAGAAGGTAAGAATTCTACCACTGAACCACCACTGCCCTTGGTATATAAATTACATCTCTATTAATAAAGTTGTTATTTTAAAAATTATATATCATTAAAAGTTAAGTTCCTCAATTACACTAGCCACATTCCAAGTGCTCAACAGCCATATGTAGCCAGTGGCTACTGAACTGGACAGCACAGATACGGATAATTTCTAACACGGCAGAAATTTCAACTGGACAGCACTGCCTAGGTGAATGGATGAAAAGCCTCCTTACAATCTGACTTCAGTCTGCGTTTCCAGTCTCATCTACTATCACACTCCTCTATACACCCACACCCGATGCTTCAGCCACAGACTATAGGTCACCTCCAAACACAGTCTCTGTTTTCACTCTTCCACATCAGGATAAACTTTCCTCCTTCCTGGTCCATAGATATCCTACCCATCCTTATCAACCATCAAAGTCCATTCTAAATGCCTGTTCCTCTACAAAGCTTTCCCTAAATCCCCACCATCCCCTCACCATGACAAAGTCAATGGTTCTCAATGTCCTTTCTCTACACTTCCATTACAATGTTCATCCCTCTGGATTACAGTTCATTTGTAGTTGTACAAATTACAAATCTGTACAAATCTGCACTGCAGGATTACCAGTTACTTGAGAACAGGAATTCTGTTACTCATTCCAGGGTTTCCCAGGGCCTAGCAATACCCTGCTGCAAAAAGGGGACATTTCAGTAGAAGGTTGCTGAATTCTACCAAAAGGACTGACATAAACTGAAGGTACTGATTTTAGACAAATGCTCACTGACATGAAACAGACTAAGAAAATGAGGTAAAAGGGACTAAGATCTCGAAGTCTCACATACCACTATTCTACAAGAAGGAATAAGTGTGACTGCACTGAAAATATCATTCCTAAGAAACAGGAGTAGCTCACCAACAATAAAAAAACTAATCAAATTGAAAAAAAAAAAAAAAATAGATTCCCAACCATAAAACTGTTTCCTGACAGCATCCAATCCAGAACAAAGCCTCACTTCCTTACACCCTCTTCCAAAATCACCTAACACACTCAAATCCTGTAAGTCCTTTCTAAAACCCTCTTACTGAGATGTCCCTCAGTTCCCAACGGTGTGTGCGTTCTCTCCCCTGCAAGAAGTAATAAACCCAGATTGTTTAACTAAAAAAAAGAAAAAGAAAAGAAACAGGAGTAGAATAGGGCTTCTGGGATGAAAACTGAGGCAACAGGAGTGAGTAAAGGGGGGGCAGCAAAGGGTATACTACTGAGTGGTGTGGCAAAAAAAAACAGCAGTAACTGGGGCCCCATCCAACTCAAAGTTTGAAGCTTGGCAGAAGAAAGGTAAGGACTGTGTCTCTAAAGATTTGCGCTACCTTATGGAAAAAGACACTTCTACTAAAACTTTAGTCCCTGGGTGGTGCAAACGGTTAACACGTTCAGTTGCTAACTGAAAGGCTGGAAGTTTGAGTCCACCCAGAGGCACCTTGGAAGAAAGCCCTGGCAATCTACTTCCAAAATATCAGCCGTTGAAAACCCTATGGAGCAGAGTTCTACTTCCACTCAATGGCAACTTTTTTTTTTCTGGTTTACTAAAACTTTATTTTAAACAATATAGTCAGATTTTATGGTAAAATTGAAACAACAGTAGAAAGAAACTCAGTGTATCTCAATCATAATTTAAATGCAACAGACAAATGGCCAGGCCTCACTTTTTGGAGACTCAATTATTCTTTATCGATTCAAGAAATCACAACTGTGAATCGCAGCAACCTGTGAGCTAGGCATGCGAACTTCCCCGGGCCTGGATGACAAGAAATGGCTGCTGCAGTGCAGAACCAGTAACAGGGGAAACAAGCCATCTAATGTCATATATTTCTGATATTAAATGCTTGTGTAAACAAAGATTGTATTGGATAGGACCATTTCAGGGAAAAAATACGCTGAGGTACTCATAACATTTTTGATACTGGAATGAGTACAGCAAGCTCTCAATTCAGAGTTAGCTGGAAGCCACCTGTTGAAATAAGGACAGTGAGTACATCCTATGCCAGAATGGTCTCTGGATAATTTTTTTTGCTTGCTGATTTCTACAAGTCAAAAAAAGAAATCCAGAATTGACTAAATCTTGGTAGATTTGGAGTTAATAATTATATAGTAACTTCCATTCCAAAGGTTAAAATTCAAAACACAAATCTCACCAGAGACATCTAGTACATCCTGAAGAAAGAGGCACGGGTATGAGGCTGGGGGTGGAGGAAGATGGAGGAATTAAGGGAGGGGGGGTGAGGATATGTGGGGGGCCAGGAAGGAGACTACTCATTACAAAAACTTTCCCTTCTCTGTAGGAACTGTAACCACATGATAGCTGTTGGTCGATGCTAGTATCCATCCAATTGGAACTAAGTACAAAAGCCACCCTGTCCCCAAAATAAGTATTGTAAGTGCCAGAGGAATGATAAGAAAGCAGCCTGTGATTGACAAAGCTTCATTAGGACATGACACATCCTCTTACCACCTCCCAGGTGTCCATGATCCGGTAGGAACCTCCATTTTCCATCCCTTCCTCCTGCTGAAGAAGTGGATCCGGTTCCCACCATCCATCAACTCTGAGCCCCACCACAGCTCTCCATTCGGGTGCTGCAGTCCACAGGCCCAGGGCACTGGCCGAGATGTCCTGGAAAGCCAGCCCACATTCCTAAATCAACCTTCTAGCAATATTATTTATTGGTTACTGGGAACCAATATCTTTTAGAGATATTTACAGAAATAGATATGCAAAGGAAAAGCAACAGTTTGCATCTACTCAGAGGCACCTCAGAGGAAACGCCTAGTGATCTACTTCCAAAAAATCAGCTACTGAAAACTCTTACGGAACACAGCTCTACTCTGACACACATGAGGTCACCACGAGTCAGAACTGATTCAATGGCAACTGGTTTGGTTTATTATCATCAACCTATATTTTGTTCTGTCAACACCTATACTTCTTAACTTTACCAGTCCTGAGGGTTATAACTTTTTCTAGTAGACAAATAAAATTTATTTCTCCTTCCAGTTTATGATTTTAACTGGGAAAACAAAGAACCCCAACAAAGCCTAAAACTGAAGGGTCACAGCCCTAGGAAAGAGAATCCATGGGGCCAAAAAATAAGCTCTCTTCCTTCCACATATTATTTCTAATATACATATAGTCTGAGAAAAAAAATAGAGGATACTTCAACAGATAAACGAATTACACTATATACATACAATGGAATATTATTCAGCCATAAATGAAGTACTGATACATTCGATAATGTGGATGAACCTCCAAAACATTGTAAACATTATGCTGCATGAAAAAGTCCAACACAAAAAGTCACAGACTGTAGGGTTCCATTTATATGAAATATCCAGAATAGGTAAATCCATAGAGATAGAAAGCAGACTGGTGGTTGCCAGGGGTTGTGGTGGGTAGGTGGAAATCGAGAGTAACTGTTTAATGGGTGTGAGCTTTTTTTGGGGGGGGGTGAAAATGTTTGGAATTAGACAGAAGTGGTAGTTGCACAACACTGTGAATGTACTAAATGCCACTGAATTGTACACTTTAAATGGTTAATATTATGTTATGTGGATCTCACCTCATTAAAAAAAATAGAGGATACTAATGGGCAAAACAAGATGCATATGAGAAATGGCAGCCCAAAAAGTCCCAGGAAAAAGATAAGTATGCTGGCACTCTGCTGCTACTCTTGGCCACGACACTAAGTCCAAGCACTAAACTGTATGGATTCTGCCATTATGCTGTCTCTGTATGTGTGCATGCCTTTCTGAAAAGGCAGGGAAGAGAAAAGAAAGTGAAGAAAATAGAATGGTAAACCTTGCCAAACGCAAGGGAAGGAGGAGTGATTCCCCCTACTGTACCCCACCCAACTGGGTACCAGGAGTAACGCTCACATTAGGGTTTCAAAATGCCAGCCAGAGCTGGAATTAGCACAAGCAAGCTCCTCTGCCTGGCTAAAAAGCAAGCTACCCAGCAAGAAAAGTTGGGGTGCTCCACTTGCTGCCCATATTGGCATCAGCACCAGCCTCTGCTCAAAAGCCCTGAGCTAGCCCAGATCAGCTTCAGAGACTTCCTCTCCCAGGCCAGCCAGCCTAAGAGCAAGAGCTTTTTACAGCTCTCGTGTGCCCTTCCTCCTGAGAAGTCCCAGTCTACTTCATTCCACCTGCCTTCCAAACCACTTCCAAACTCTAACAAACCACTAAGGGCGCCATGCCTTATCCATTAAAAATGGAGCTAAGATATCTTCAGAACCTTCTCTTGCCAGCTTGAAATAAATATCCTCTCAGCCCCCCTCCCCGTCAGCCCAGCTCAATACCCTATATACCCCTACATACACAGGTATACACAGGGTATCGCTGCCTCAGAGACCTGCCCCACAGAGGGGCACGAATGCGCCCCACATGCCGCAGCTTGGCACTGTCCAGTCACAGCCCCCAGCCCACCTAGCCTAACTGCCGTCGCAAAGGGCCCTCATTTGCTTGGCACCATTGCCTCTGCAACTCCCTGACACCAAAACCGTCACAGATGTCCCGTGAGCTAAACCACGACACCCCCTTTGATTCCTTCAACGCCGGGCATGGGCGCCCTTCTCGGGACTGCCTCCACTCCTGGCGACAACACTCCTTCACACCCCTCCAGCAAGGCACTGACGCCTTCTCCGATCCTCTCCAGCCAGGCCTCGACGACCCCCGGGCCCCCAGCCTGGCTCGGACGCCCCCTCCCGCTTACCTGCGGGGGCTCAGCCCTGGCTGACAGGCGGCTGGGCAGCGCCTGGAGGAGCAGGAGCGCCATGCCACACAGGAGCCTTCTCTCCATCCCCCTCCTGCTCCTGCTCCTCCGCCACGGCGCCGCCACCACCCTCCTCCTCCTCCCTTTCCTCCTTTCCCTCTTCTTCCTTCTTCCCTTCTTTTCCTGTTCCACTCTCGCCTCCCGCTTCCGGCTCTGCTCCACCCCGCCCCAGCCAAAACACCTCCCAGACCCTACGGAGGCTCTCCAATTCCAGCGCTTCATTGGCGTCTGCTCTTCGTTCATTGATCAAAATAGCTGTCGATCAAATCGAAGCCCACCTAGGAAGACGCAAGACCAGAGATTCAGCCAATGAAAAGTAGGAGGAAGCCAGGCCATCTTGGGTGATGCAAGGCCGAGTAAAATGCGTCCTGCCCCGCGGAAGTAACGCCTTTCAGGAGGCGGAGCCACCCAGAACGTGTACTGGAAAGCCTAATTCTGTTGCCGCCATCTTGAGTGTGGCGGAAGTATTAGGTTTCCACAATCTAGCAAAGAAAGAGAAGGGGTACAGTGATTCTAAAGGGTGTTGGAAAGTAAGTTGTTTCTAGAAGGTAACCTAGCGTGCCTAGAGGGGAAAACACCTGCCATCTAAAATCTTATATTTTTTGTCTTGAAGCATAGCCCCAGTATTAGGTCCCTTTCTTTGTCCCAAACTGCCCAAGCAGCAGTTTAGGTCAATTTGAATTATCTGAGTGATTTAGGAGATAATATTGGAGCCATCATTCCTTGTTCTAGAATGTGACCTCGCTGGAGCTGGACTCATAAGGACACCTCAACTGGCCCTGAGGTGTAAAGACAATAACTAGGACAATCTTGGAAGACATCTTTTAGGGAAACTTTCACATAAACAACTCATAAAACACAATACAAATGACCCACACACTTTCCACTCATATCTTTGTTTTTTAGCCTTTAGTGAAGATTTGTTGGACCAATGAGGACCCTCCTTATCATCATTACTGAAACCTGTACCAATGATTGTTAAGAAAGACAATTCAAAATGTAGGATCACAGTTTCTAGCCAATCAGTGAAAAGGTGAAGTTTTCAATGGTTTTGCCCATTTGTAATGTTAATATATACTGATGATTCTGTAATGTTCCTTGGACTCGGACAGATGTGGCTCTGGCAGCATCCTTGTCTGTTTTCCCACTTTTACTTATTCTGTAATATTCCTTGGACTCCAGCAGACATGATCTAGCAGCATGCTTATTCGTTTTCCCACTTTTGTCTATTCTGTAATTTCCTTGGATTTGAGCAGACATCAGCTTTGGCAGCATGCTTGTCAGCTTTCCACTTTTGCCTCTTTGAATATATGCCAAATAAAACTTTCTTTTTGCTTTACTAAACTTTGTCATGTTTTTACCCTAGAACATGAGATAGTTCTTTACCTGAGGCTTAGTGCTCAGTGCCAAGTTTCAGGGACGAAATTCTATTGACTATCTCAAAACCAGTAACCCAGTTGCCATCAAGTTGACATCAACTAATGGTGACATCATGCATAACAGAGTAGAACTGTGCCATATAGGGTTTTCAATGACTGATTTTTCAGAGGTATATAGCCAGGCCTTTCTTCCGAAGCACCTCTGGGTGGACTCAAACCCCCAAACTTTTGGTTAGCAGCTGAGCGTAGAGTTAACTGTTTATACCACCCAGAGACCTCTCTACCTCAGAAGTAGCCCTGAAATCCAACCCGTTGTTTCAATCCATGTTCTCATCTTCTGGTTAAGTACAAATGACCTCCCTGCTGCCTTCCCAGTAGCTGATTCCTCCCTCTCAAATTCTTCCACACACCACAGCAACAGTGCTGTATCACATAAAACCAAACATTATCATGTCACGTCTTCCCCTCTTAAAACACTTCTGACAGGATATATAGTCCAAACTTCTCAGTATGGTCCTCTCTGTAACCTGGTCCTTGCCTACTTCTCTTTATCTCACCTTCTGACACTACATTTCCCCACATATTCTGCTATGGACACTTAAGAGACACCTAATATGCTATGCTATAGCATACTTAACTGCATTTACACACACAGTTTCCCAATTACAAACTCCAAGCCCCCACCTTGTTTCTTCTTCTGGATTCACATAACATTTACCACAAAGTGCATTTAATCTGTAATATCTGCCTGCTTGACCCCTCCCACTAAATTTGCAGCTTTTTCTATGACACACCAAGTCTCACTCTTTTTTTTCTTTTTCTTTAAATCCCTAAAATATCCAGCCGCTATGAGTCAGAATGGACTCTACAGCAAATAAAAACAACAACATACATATCCAGTACAGGGCCTAATCATGAGCTCAACATCTGTAAAATAAATAAACAAATGAAGATCCAATCGCAGAGAACACAGCTGCTTATAGCAGCTAATTTCCTCTCAAGAGGAAACGTTTTACAGCCTGGCCTATCTCACCCATAGCTGAGCCCAGAGGAAGTTGTTCTTGGTTTAACCAGTAACAAAGTGAGAAAAGGTAAGAAATCAGTTTTGCCCCAGCTTATGAACATCCATAGTTCTGCCTCCATCTTGATACAGCTTTCTGAAGTACTGCAAAAGATGGCAGGTATTTTGGTAATGTCAAATTTCTTAGTAATTCATCCATCCCACAAATCAAGCTCCCTAGGGGAGAAATGATAAAAACTGAGGACTAGGCAAGGGCCAAATTATTTTCACAAAAAATTATTTGGTCTCAGTCCAGGCATCAAGAACTATAAGTCCTTCATATAAAGGCCAGGAATCATCATTATTCCCCACGCGTCTGTCAGTTTGTCATACTGTGGGGGTTTGCATGTTGCTGTGATACTGGAAGCTATGCCACTGGTATTCAAATACCAGCAGGGTCACCCATGGCAGACAGGTTTCAGCTGAGCTTCCAGACTAAGACAGACTAGGAAGAAGGACCTGGCCATCTACTTCTGAAAAGAATTAGCCAGTGAAAACCTCATGAATAGCAGGTGAACACTGTCTGATACAGTGCGGGAAAATGAGCCCCTCAGGTTGGAAGGCACTCAGAAGATGACTGGGGAAGAGCTGCCTCCTCAGAGTAGAGTCAACCTTAATGACATGGATGGAGTCAAGCTTTCAGGGCCTTCATTTGCTAATGTTGCATGACTCAAAATGAGAAGAAACAGCTGCAAACATCCACTAATAATCAGAACGTGGAATGTACAAAGTATGAATCTAGGAAAATTGGAAGTTGTCAAAAATGAAATGGAATGCATAAACATCAATATCCTAGGCATTAGTGAGCTGAAATGGACTGGCACTGGCCATTTTCAATCAGAAAATCATATGGTCTACTATGCCAGGAATGACAACTTGAAGAGGAATGGAATTGCATTCATCATCTAAAAGAACATTTCAAGATCTATCCTGAAGTACAACGCTGTCAGTGACAGGAAAATATCCATACGCCTATAAGGAAGACCAGTTAATATGACTATTATTCAAATTTACACACCAACCACTAAGGCCAGAGATGAAGAAATTGAAGATTTTTACCAATTTCTGCAGTCTGAAATTGATCAAACATGCAATCAAGATGCACTGATAATTACTGGTGATTGGAATGCGAAAGTTGGAAACAGAAGAAGGATCAGTAGTTGGAAAATATGGCCTTGGATAAGACAATACACAATACTGGGGAAACCAGCACAACTTGTACAAGACAAAGTCATGGAAGCTCCATAGACACATCCAAACTCCCCAAGGGACCGAATTGCTGGGCTTAGGGCTGTGGGGACCATGGTCTCAGGGAACATCTAGCTCAATTGGCATAATATAGTTTATAAAGAAAATGTTCTACATTCTACTTTGGTGAGTAGCGTCTGGGGTCTTAAAAGCCTGTGAGCAGCCATGTAAGATACTCCACTGGTCTCACTTCTTCAAGAGCAAGGGAGAACGAAGAAAACTAAAGATACAAGGGACTCCAAAGAACTAATGGACCACAACTACCACAGCCTCCACCAGAATGAGTCCAGTACAGCTAGATGGTGCCTGGCTACCATCACTGACTGCTCTGACAGAGATCACAATAGAGGGTCCTGGACAGAGCTGGAGAAAAATGTAGGACAAAATTCTACCTCACAAGAAAAGACCAGATTTACTGGCCTGACAGAGATTGGAGAAACCCCGAGAGTATGGCCCCCAGACACCCTTTACTTCAGTAATGAAGACACTCCAGAGGTTCATCCTTCAGCCAAAGATTAGACAGGACCATAAAACAAAAGGAGACTAAAGGGGCACACCAGCCCAGCGGCAAGGACTAGAAGGCAGGAGGGGAAAGAAAAGCTGGTACTAGGGAACCCAAGGTCGAGAAGGGAGAGTGTTGACATGTCATGGGGTTATTAACCAATGTCATAAAACAATATGTGTACTAACTGTTTAATGAGAAACTAGTTTGTTCTGTAAACCTTCATCTAAAGTCAATTAAAAAAAAAAAGAAAAAGAAAATATGGCCTTGGTGATAGAAATGATACCGGAGATTGCATTATAGAATTTTGGAAGACCAACGACTTCTTCATTGCAAATACCTTTTTTCACCAACATAAACAGCAACTATACATGTGGACCTTGCAGACGGAATCCGGAAGAATCAAACTGACTACATCTGTGGAAAGAGATGATGGAAAAGCTCAATAACATCACTCAGAACAAGGCCAGGGACCAACTGTGGAACAGACCATCAATTGCTCATATGCAAGTTCAATTTGAAACTGAAGAAAATTAGAACAAGTCCACCAGAGCCAAAGTATGACCCTGAGTATATCCCACCTGAATTTAGAGACAATCTCAAGAATAGATTTGACATGTTGAACACTAATGACCGAGGACAGACGAGTTGTGGAATGACACCAAGGGTATTATACATGAAGAAAGCAAGAGGTCATTAAAAAGACAGGAAAGAAAGAAAAGACCAAAATGGATTTCCGAAGAGACTCTGAAACTTGCTTTTGAATGTCGAGTAGCTAAAACGAAAGGAAGAAATGATGAAGTAAAAGAGCTGAACAGAAGATTTCAAAGGGCAGCTTGAGAAGACAAAGTATTATGATGACATGTGCAAAGACCTGGAGATAGAAAATTGTCTTAGTTATTTAGCGCTGCTATAACAGAAGTACAAAAGTGGATGGCCTCAACAAACAGAATTTTATTC